CATCTGGAGACATGACAGGCTAAGTTGTTTTTCATATTTATACAAATAGTTCTGAATACATAGCCACAGAAGACCACATTTGGGGTACATTTATTGAACTATTTACAATATATCCCATCCTATATGAAAAAAGATCTCAGGGTGGGCTGCAGACTAACAAGACATGGGTCCCCATTGGTTGTTCCCCTTTCTTCAACTGGATCAGAGTTAAGTTAGGCATCCTTCAGTCTCAAAAGACTATGGTGACGTGCTCTGTATGGAGGACTTGGAACAGCGTCTAGTGTGGCTGAAAAGGCCAATTTGAGAGTGACAATCTCTTCCCCACTGAAGACAAATCCAATCTGTCCCCTGTCCAGCTCCCTGGTTTTGCTGCTTTTGTGACTTCCTCTTTGCCTTGGCCTGCTGGACAAGGGTCTCTTCAAATTGGGAGAGGCCGTGATGCACTGCCTGCCTCCAGGCTGAACGGTCAAATGTCAGGGTTTCCCATCTGTTGAGGTCTATTCCTAAGGCCTTCAGATCCCGCTTGCTGATATCCTTGTATCGCAGCTGTGGTCTCCCTCTGGGGTGATTTCCCTGCACTAATTCTCCATACAGTGATCATTTGGATCACTACAGTTAAAATCCATATTTTTTTAGAGACAGATAACAGTGCTCAAGAAAGTTACATAGGGTTTCAAAAGGGTGGACTACCCCATGTGTTACTGTTGTCTGATACTCCCCTGGCTGCATAGGTTTGGCAGGTGTTTTAAATTGTCAGATCTTGGGAAAGTTGGGTTTTTTGGGATTACCAGTATATACACACACACACCCGTATTGTGATCAATACAAAAATATTGAAACACGGCTGACAGGAAAAAAAAGTAGGGATGAACATGGCCCACTAGGATTAACCAATTGCTTTATCAATTGCCTTCCATTCTTTAAAGTCATCTTCCCCCACTCTTTATTTTTAGCCACACAGCCGTCCTTAACCAAAGAAGTTAGCTACCTGTTTAATAATTCAAAGTGTTATCAGGAACACATAGAAAGTGGATTGTAATGAGGTGCCCTTTAAAACCTTACAGGTTTACTGAATCCCACGCTAACAGCAACTACTGCAGCATAACACAGTGAGTGAAGGGTTCACAAAATGGCAGGATATGGGAAGGCATGGGGTAGCTTTGCTGGTGTTCCTGTTTCAGGGGTCTGAGTTTGTTGTTGTTGTTTTGGTGCTTGTCCGTTGAAATATACATGCATCCCTCCTCCCCAAGTGACTTTCTAATATGGTTCACATTACAAATCTAAAACTCTACATCCGAGTTTCTCAACCTGGGGATCGTGACACCCCAACAGGGTTGTCAAATGTTTTCTGGGGGTTTGCAGGTCACCTTATACGCGTTGTAGTCTTTGTTAAATTATTATTTTTCCTTGATTTTTTAGAGCAGGATATTAAAGTTAGCATTCTCCCTTTGTGGGAGAAAGAAGCCTCTATTTTCTGAAAAGGGATGACTTTACCTCAATAAAATGCCTTTTTATGCAAATGTGGAAGGGGGTCACAGATTACTTGGCGGTTATAAAAGGAGATCGCAACTCAAAAAAGGTTGGAAACCACTGCATTTAATCACAACAGCAGCAGCAATGCAGGACAGTAAAGCAACTCAGTCTCTTAAGAATGTGTGATACAGATGTGTGAAAGGGGATGGAATAGGGAAGTACGTAACTTGTATCAGAGGCAGTTTCCAGTGGGACTAAGCCACACAATCACAATGGCAAACATCATGGCTATCTGCTTGCCTGGAGAAGTACAGTGGGGTCTTGACTTGAGAACTTAATCCGTATTGGAAGGCGGTTCTCAAGTCAAAAAGTTCTCAAGTCAAATCTGCATTTCCCATAGGAATGCATTGAAAACCATTTGATCCGTATCTGCTCTTTTCCGTCCACTAATGGGAAAACTAATGGGAAGCTGCTATTCTGCCTTCGACCACTAGAGGGGGATATTTTGTTTCTTTTTTTCTTAGGTCAAGAAAGGTTCAGGGAAGGCAGGGAAAATACAGTCCAGGCAGGACAGTACCAGGCAGTCCGAAGACTGTCTCCCAATCCACTCTCTAAACACTGGGAGGAGTGAGGAAGCAGACAGGCGCCCTTTTCACTGCCCAACAGTTAACTGAAAGTTCAAATTTTGCACTTTCCCTGCCTCCCACATGGTTTTTTTCCAGTTCTTAACTCAAATCTAAGTATGTAAGTCAAGTCAATATTTTCCTATGAGAGTGGTTCTTAAGTCAAAATGTTCTTAACTCGAGCCGTTCTTAAGTCAAGACCCCACTGTAAGGCTTTCTTTCCAAAACAGAATTGTCATTATGGAGCAAGCCTTCTGGAACTTGTGCAAAAACTGCTAACATCAACATATTTGTTGTATGGAAAGCAAAGCAAAACACCAGTGTCTGGAAGAACCCCATATAAGGTATAAAAATAGTAAAAAAGAAAGAGAGCCAATAAGGGAGAAAATACCAAGGAACACTTAAAAAAAAGAGGGGGAAAATCAGATGCTTGATTTAAAGGCCTTTCCAAGCCTTGTGCCCTCCCTGCAGCTGAACAAGGACTGGACCAACTCTCATCATCCCTAATCATCGGGGTTATTAATAACTCAACAGATCTAAAAAGCACAGATTAGGGAAAGCTAAACTAAAGGTCCTCATAATGTCTTCATTAGGGAGTTAGATTTGGACTACAGATAGACATGGATACATTGTCTTGTACAGAGTTTACAAAAGATCCAGACTTTGTAAACTCTGTCTATAAGGTGTTTTCCCCAAAACAAATTGTTATCCCATTATAAGAAATGGCAAAAAAGAAGAAGAAGAAAAATCCTAAACACCTTATTCCCAACTTAAAATACATACAAGTGCCTTTACCCTAATCCCATACATAGCTGGAAAACTTTCTGAAGTAAAAACAGGACTCAACTGTAAATGTATTTCCTTGGCACTAAGCATCACAAAGTTAAATAGAACTTACTTCCAAGAAAGTGTGTTTATGATTAACATAATAGTCATACAACAGTTGATTTCTGTGCCAGCAACCACAGTAATAATCCAAACCATGAATCACTATGCAATCAGTCTATGCCATATTAACAAGAGTTCCAAAAACTCTACTATGTGCATAAAATACATCCCTTTCATTTTTCTTTATTCACATATTTCTATAAAGATACCATGGCACTTTATAACAAACCGAACTGTTACCAAGTTTCACAGAGGCCACAAGAGATGCCCCACATTGTCGATTTTGTTCTTCAGATTCCTTTTCCTTTCCAAAGTAGGCAAAAGAGACAGACCACCTTCTCTCTCTTTTTTGAGAGTTGCTCTAAAGATTGGTCATGGAGTGAGGTGGCACCTCTCTCACTTTGCCACTTAGAATTTAGCTTCTCCCCCCCTCCCATCCCACCCTGGGTGCTGATACAGCATAGGCTCCATTTCACCAACTTCACCTGCTTGAAATACTAAAAAAAGTCCGAGGCAAAGATGCTTCTGCCATAGATGCACTTTGTTCCAGGAAGATTTCGTGTTGTATTACTAGATTTCTGCCAGGAAAGAAGCCATTCATTCATTCACAAGCAGCTTCCAGTGGGAGCCCTTCTTGCCATCAACTTGTTTGCCACCAACAGTGAATGCAAGGCATATGCTTAACCCCTGGAAGAATAATGTTTCAGGCTCCTGGAGCATCTTGCCTGTCTTGTTCTAGAGGCCCAGAGCTCAGGAGAAGCCATTTTGCTTCTCCCACAATCCTCCAGGTTATAGAGTTGCAAGACTGCCAAAAGGCATTCTGAGAACACTTCTGCCAGCAACACCTCCTCCCACACACCCTGACTGCAGTTTTCTACTGCTCCAAGCAAGAACTGTAAGGGTTGGGCTTGAATGTCAACACACAGAGAAAAATTTCTTACTCCCGGCTGCCTTTCATCTCAGGGCGAAGGTGGAACGAAGGGAAGGAAAGGAAACACACACACACACACACACCAACGACCAAAAACCTCAGCAAGCATGCTGTCTGTCTTGAGGAAGCTTTCATGGCAGGCTTCCCACTCACTTCAAAGTAATCAAAGGGTAATAATTAAGATGCATTTTCTGTAGCTCAAGATATTCCACTGCATGCTGTAACAGAGTTTGCATCAAGAATCCGTTCTACTGCAGGCTATATTTTGCCCCTTAAAATTCAACAGCAATCAAAACATGTTCAGCGATAAAATAAAATTAAAAATCTGTGTGGGGGTCTTGGCAGTTACTGGGACAATGTTTTCCCTTGAAAAGTTGAAGAACACAGTGTTGCTTTAAAAAAAACAACTCCTAATGCCTCAAGATCAGTGTGAGAAACACACACAGAGGAGAGGTGGCAAAAGGAGCAGAAAGGCTCCCAGGTGTTGGTCACCTGATGCTGTGGGGAAGGAAGGGTTCCTGTGCCGCTGGTGCAGAGTGCAGCAGGCGGGCTCTGGAAACCGCCTTCTTCCAGTTGCTGCTTTGCCAATGACTAATGCTCCCTAAAGCTGCTCAAGTTTCACCAGCAAAGCTTTGTCCTTCACAGCCATTGCTAGCTAGGGCTATAATAGCCAGGAAAGTCATTGAGGGAATTGGGAGGCGCAGGGCTGGTGAGAGACAGAGTGCTCGTGTGCTCACTGTCAAATGGATTTTAATATCTTTTACATTATGAAGTATTCATGGGGGCTTGAAAGGGTTCTGCAGAGATCAAGGTCAGCAGGCAGCCCCTGAGATACTCAGATAAGTACATTGAGTTACTCAGTTAAACTAGTGCTGTTCACTGAGGCTCCAGGATCACACCATTCTATCCTGTTCCACACAAGTCCTGGCAGTTCCGCAAATTCAGAAACATATCAGTAACACATTACATTAAGAAAAGCCGCACCCAGACACAAAAAACAAGAAAGCAACCAGAACCCTTCACACATTGTACAATGGATTTGCAGCTTCATGGCAAACAGACAAAAGAACAAGAGGGTGACTTACGGTTATCAGACTGGAAATCTGGGACAAACTGCTCATCGTCAGGAACTTGGGCTATAAAAGGTAGGGGGGAAGATTGCATTATTTCAATATTTGTGTTTATTTAATGCATCTCTATCTTTTCCTTATCCAAAGACTAACCCAAAGAGATTCAAAAGTTCAGTGCCATATAAACAGGATGCAAGTAACACGTGTCGTGTGCCTTTTTAACAAAAGGCATTAAAAGATCCTTCCTTTGATACAGCAACTAGCACAACACATTGTCACAACTAACAGAGAACAAAGCATAGCAAGAGGGCAAATTAGCCTCTTCCAAGCTGGGTGCCTCCAGATGTGATGGGCTACAATCCCCCCCTTACCGCCCAAAAGGGGGGGCACTGGCTAGCCTGGCTACTCAAAGACAAGAGTTATAGTTCAGCCTGCACGGAAAACCCCAAGTTGGGGAAGACCGATATACACCGAGAAATCAGTAGAGATTTACCTTCAGCTAACCAAGCCTCCTGCAGCTGGCTGAGATCCTGAAACAATTCTGGAAGAAAAAAAAATTAAAGACATTTTTTTAAAAAAAGTGTTTCTCATTTAAGTGTTTTTTCTATTTACATGAACAATCAAGTATCCAGTTGTCTAGTATGTTGATAAACCCAATAAACTCCTTTTAATAAGGAAAAGAAAAAGAAAGGGGAAGGGAATTCAGTACTACCTTCAGAATCATGAGCCAAGTCAGTGTCTTGAAACTTCCTTTTTCTGTCATTCATGGTCCTCCCTCGGCATTCATCTGTGCAAGATTTCTGATACAGAAGCAAAGAAATGGCACCATGAAGGGCAAGCCTTCAGAACACAAAGCTTCTATGAACTTCATCCCAAGGAGAGGTGGAGTGAGGAACAGAGTGTGAAAACCAAACCACATAATACAATACAAGACCTACCCCAGGGACCGTGAAAGGGACCTGCTGATCATAAAAGCCATCCATTGTGCTTGTAGATTCTTTAATACTCCCTTGAATGGTTTTAACATTGAGCACCTCCAGGATGAGAAGAGTTCAGAACCAAGCTCTGGCAGATTTGAGACTAGAGAAGAGAGACAGAAATCAAAACATGTTCTGCCTTTAAGCCACCTTAAGAGACTTCATCTGTAATGGCACTTGAACACAGTCTACAAGCTTTGAGGATTATCTCCTATGCTTAATTAATGTACACCAAACATCCTTTTGTTGGGGGGGGGGGAGGAGAATCAAGGCATAGTCAGACCTCCTCTCTGAATTAATCTAATTACTACAATATTCATTCATTAAGTTGCTATCCTTATCAGCCTTATCTTTTTTGAGCCAACACACAAAAGACCCCAACCTTTAATCCATGATGTCACAGAGTTACTATGGAAACAGCTGTGGCATCATTAAAGATGAATTACAACCACTTAAGAACAAACCTAGAGAGAATGGCATAGGATACAAAGCAGTGATTGCACTGCACACTGGAGTACATTTTTCTCCCTACATGGTTAAAAGATAAAATATAAATAGCAACAAGGACATAAGTCAATTCTACCTTGGGCAGGAGCTCAACTTTCAGGAGATGAAAGATACCAACATGCAACTGTTCCAGGTTATGTAAAGAGCAACTGATCTTTCAGTTTGGACCTAAATATGAACACATATATGCTGCAAAGCCAAGTTTCTCCAATTTCACTGAGACTTGCTCCCAGTTAAAAAAAATGCTTAGGACTGGAACTTTTCAAAAGAAATAGCACTCGTTTTTTCAAGTAAAAGGGAAATCTAATTTATTGACTATCCAGGAATCTCAGATACCATACCTGAAAGCTTAAACATATTGAAACAAAATCTCCATGTTAGGCTGACCTACGATTTAGCACGAAATGGAAATCCACTTAGTGGATCTCCGTCTGCTGATGCAACTTTGGCTACTCCTAGCAGCCTGTACGTTGGGGAAAAAATCTACCAGCTAAAGGCCGTTTTTCAGTCATTTTAAAGTAAACCTAAAGTTATGCACAAGAAAGCTTCACACTCGGTTTAAAGCAAATTTTATTTTCTGTTGAAGAGGTGATCGAACTAAGAACTGATGCTTTTAAAAAGTTTAAGGGAAATAAGCAGTTTCATAACATGGAGAGGGGAAAGGATAGTTTATGAATATCACTTCACTAGCTCACTCAACCATTGCGGATAAGTCCTAAAAGTCACTGAAATAATATAAACGTTAAAACGCGCTGAACATGTATGAACACTACCCCCCTCCGCGCCAAATCTCAGTTCCTACTAACCTCCCCCGTCTTTTGGATACAGGATTTTAAACAACGGCACCACTTAAAAAACACGTCTAAATACTGCATCGCAGCGAACTAAAACCGCGTTGCACTTCAGCTGCTACGTTTCGCCGCCGCCTCCCGTCCCTGTTCCCGCAGGAAAAGCCTTTAACACAGCCAAACAATACGGTCACTATCCCCTCCCCCACGCGCGAATGTGGCCTAAGTTTTATGAATGGCAAAGGAAGCACCAAGAGCAGGTAGAGTGTAACTAGATCCCCAGCGCAGGGCCCCATTCACAAAAACAAGAGACGCACTTTCCAGCTCACTCCATTCATGAAGTGAGTTCAGATGTGCCCCCACCCCTACAGCCCTGTGCGGAGCGCCTCGGAGCGCCTCAGCCCCCGCCCCCGCACTCAAGGCTTCATTCACACAAAACCAGCTCCATTCATAAAAATCGCCCGCATTCACAAAAAAGGGAAGGAAAAAAAACAACAACCAAAAAACCTCCCAGCCAAGCCACTGCTCGCCGCAGCCTGTGGCGGCGCGGCTGTGCAGCTTTTGCCTGCGATGTTACGCCGTAGCGCTTCTTCTGTGCCCGCTCTTGCAGCCTCCAAACCTACCCGCTCCATCTCCAGAGATCCAGCGCCAAGACCGACTGACTCCATGCTCCGATCCATTAAAGCGAAAACGGCTCCATCACGACAACGGGATGCTGGGCTTACCTAACCACCCCGCCACCTTACGCCTCGGGCACCTGCACCCCCGCAAAAAAAGGTCTCCTCCCTCTGTCCATCCGACCCCACAATCCCATGCACCCCATTACTCAACACCGCTGCCCCTCGCCGAGTTTGCGACCCCCCAAGCCCCGGAGGCTGCACCGCCTCGGCCCCACTCACCTGCCCATAGAACTGCCGCGCCGCCACTGTGCCGTTGCTAGCAGCCCTGTGTCTTCGTCGGCTTGCTGCCGGAGCCCCCGAGCGGCCTCCAGAGCCTGCCCCGCGCCGCCCCCATTGGCCCACAGCACCGCCAGGGGCTGTCAGTCACAGGTTGTTTACCCTACCAAGCACCCAATGGCGCTCGGATGTTATAACACCTCCCAGTTCTGAATGGTTACAGTTGCCTAGCATTCTAAACCCGCCTTCTCCCACTGATGAAGTGTCTAAGCTTCCCCCCCCCTTTTGCGTCCGGAGAAATACAGCCAATCAAGAGGTCCCTGATTTACATTTTTTCGAGGAGCGTTTTCATTCATAAAAAAAGAGACAAATATATATACAGTATCGCGTTCCGAGGGCGAGGCAGACGCAGGGAAAGATTTAAAGGAAACGCGCACCCTGGCGGTTCGGGGTCTGTTTTTTTTGCCAGCTAGGCAACGAAGTAAGCAGCCATTCAGTAGATGTTGCCCGTTATCCATACCTGTTTGTGCCCATTTTCTTCTTTATTTGCTCTTTGCGCTGCGCGCATAGTCGCTGTGCTGGCACAGCTTGGCTACTGAAGTAATAATGATCGCCATAGAAGGTCACTGTCGATTTTAGCTGCTGAATTACAGTGTTAATGTGATATTTCCCAACATCTGGAGCGCTCGTAATCAAAACATGGTGTACCCATACCGAGGCAGGCCCTTTTTCGGCGGCACTAGGAAAATGGCAACAAGAAAATTGCGCCTTCTACTCCATGCGGCTTTTGGGTTCATATACACGCTCATAAAAGTGACCAGATCTTTCCTTACTATAGTGCCAAGAATAAACATTACCGAGTCTTGCAATCTACGCTCCCCTCGTTCATTCAGTAGTTTTTAGGGGCAGCTGTATTTTATAACACTTAACTCTGCTTTTTACTACAGATTTATCCACATGACTGGCGTGAGTCTGCTTGAACTGCAGAGGACTTTTTGAGAAACTTGGTATGAGGCCTTGTGAGTGGTTGTGGAATAATTTGTTTTCCCACCCCACAAAAAGGTGCACTTCCAATTCACAGGCGAGGGGGGTACAGTATTTTTTAAAAAATTATTACAACTTTTAATGCGGCCTTTCATCCTTATGGAAACTAGAGAGGGGAACAGCTAAAACTGAAATAATACAATAACTCTCTAGATAAAGGCACACCTCACCTCATGTCTGTCTGGGTTGCTACACTTTGTACCCCAAACTTTTGAAGAAAATGTACTTTGCACTCTCTCATAGACACCTTTCCCCCTTCCTACATTCCTGTGTTAAGCCTGGAATGCCATTCCTGGAATTTGCAAACAACTGGCCATACCAAACCCAGTGTAAACAAAGCCATCTGAGACCACCTCTCTCTCCTTTACAAAAGGGGTCTCCACTCTCAAAAGTGGGGCAGGGCTTTTCTCCATTGGGACCCAAGGTGCCACTGGGGGAAGCCTGTTGGACCCAGGTAGTTTGACGGATGCAGAAGCCAGGAAGGAAAAACATTTGGGGCATGCTGCCTTGGAAAGGTGCGGCACTGCTGCTTTCTTAATTTGAATTTGGAACACCTACTGCTAACTTAAATGGTTTGAGCTGTTTAGAATGCCTCGGTTTGAAACATGCTACTGGGCTGTTAATTCATACATTGTAAACTCTGCTGTTCCCTGAGACAGAAAAATATGATACCAATAGTTTGAAATATTCATATTTCTGCTTCTTTGTCCATCACTGGTTAATGAGGGAGTGGACAGAAGATCAATTGTTGTCCACCAGGAGGTCTCCAGCCCATTTGTGGAGGGCCATCTAGTGCCAGCTGTTGGTTGGGGTTGTGGCAAAACACAGCACAGGCAGCTCAGGATGATTCTCCTGCTATTGATAGCACTTTGCTTATGCCCAATGTGGGCAAGAAGAACACTTCAGAAGAACTGAGCTATCACAGATTAAGAAATTTTAACGGCATGTAACAGGACACTATATCAGGATGAAGCCCTGCTTGTAACATTTAAAGATCCATGTGTCTGGATCCTGTTGTAACAATACTGGGCTGGGTGGCCCTCAAGTTGATCCAGCACAGACAGTTTTAATGGGCTTATGCAAGAGGACAAGTTCTATAAATTAGTTGTGTGAAAAGACCCAGAGAAGTCACTTTTGCTTTGTACATTTACAATATCCCAGGGACCTGCATTCTTATAAATTGTTCTGGTCTTTAAAAAAAAAACAGCATGCAAGCACACATGAAATCCCCTGCTCCAATGGGCTGTATCTCTTCAAGACATTGTTTACTCACATTCAGAGATCGCATTCTGAAGGTCAAATAGGTATGGGACACTTGTGGATTACAAAAATCCATGTTGCATTTTGTGGGGTGACAATTGTACGATCAATTGTACATCTGGAGCACATTTTGTAATGCAACTCGCAATTAGCACCGTTGAAACAATTTTACAGTAACGAATATATAAATGCAGTTTTCTGCAGAGTTTTGTACTCTCACCATACCCTTTTGGCACTGGTTGTGGAGAACTGTTTGCTGATTTTGGGTATAGATTTTTCCCTACTGCAAAGTACTTGCCTTTTGGGTGACTAGTGGCAGTGCAGTGCAGGCATTTGATTTTATAGGTTATTTTTGTAGGGCAAATGCAGGCACTAGGGGCTCTCCAAATATGCTTTAGACTTTTAATTCCCATCATCTCTTGCCAATGTAGCCAGTTGTCAGGAGGCATAACATCTGCAAGGGCGTAACAACTGCCTCCCTGCTGTATAATCTTGGGAAAATATATGTGAAATGATTGTGAGAAAAAAATCCTTTTTCAGCATTCATGTCCATTTTTAGGGCTAAATAAGTAGACGAGGAAGGTGGCAGCGGCTGTATTTTGGCCCTCTTATTGATCTTGCATGTCCTGAAACAACCTGAAGGTCTAAATTTTATTTGAGCCACCTAAGGTATGAAAGGAACCACTTGTCCATCAACATTGAGAGAGTGATTTGAAAATGCCATGGAACTGTAGAGCTGGAAGGAACACCAAGGGTCACCAAGTCCAACCCTCTGTCAAAGCACATGGGCATTCATTCATTCCAAAAGGTTATCATATATCTTGGAATGGATGCCCGTATCAGACAAACCAAGAGGACTGAAAAAGGAGACGTGAAAGAAAGGATAGGGAAGAAGTTACAGTAAATGAGTTAAATCAGGTTTGGGACCCTAGAATAAACAAGGGAGCAGAGTGCCAGGATAAAGCCAAAGGGAGTATTGTAGTCTGATGAAGCTACAGATCTGAAGCAAGGGAAAGAAGAAAAACGATATTAGCAGCCTAAGAGAGGACAGAAAACTTGGGCAGGGACAGCAGCCCAAAGGGAAACGAAGCGAGATTTGGCCTTCACCAAATTTGGCCTTCACCAGTTCACTCACTCCACTGAGTACATTTCCATGTATATTCCAACCACATGGGGATTGATTGGTTCACACAGTTTGCACTGATTTTAGTAGTCTCATGTAAGACATTTAGCCGATACCAGCATAGTTAAACTACACCAAAAGCTGGGTTTGGTTCAGTTTTCTAATTATTGTTTTGGCATCAGCTGCAGTTTCAGACAGAGGAAGAAGAAGCTGAATAGCTTGTTGAGGGTTTTCCTTCCTTCCTTCCTTCCAGCACCCATTTACCTTTTGTTCGTTAAGGAGTCTGTTTCACATGTTGACTCCATTTGGAATCCTACTAGCTCTGGTGAGAGGCAGGTTATGTCTCTTCTAGGTCAAAATAAAAAAATAGGCAAGTAGGGCTTGCTAATCAAAGGTCAAGATTCTCATTCTCTTCCTGGTGTAAGAGACTAGGTGGGCCTTGTTTACTGGGCTGGTAGAGAAGAGAAGCCTGCTTCTTAGAGAGTTTAGGGAGAAAGGTTGTAGCTTCATGAACCAAACTATATGCTTGATTAGAGGAGGGGATTCTTTAACTGCTGAAAAGATTGAATTGTCACAGCAGGAGGTTTTCACAACTCCTGCACTTAGTAAACCAGTTTGCCTTGTTTTGTGATTGGTAATCATGGATTAGATGCCAGTTTCATTTGTAAGTATGATTGCTCAGTCATTCTGAAACACTAATGGATTTAAGTTTAATTTAAAACATAGGCTGAAATCCAGTAGGAAGTCACAACTACAGTAGACCCATTGAATCAGTGGAGATATGGTGAGTCAACACCAAAGGTAAGTTCCAATTATTCAGCAGGCCTACTCTAGCTGGAATTTGCTATTATATGTCAGCCATAGTTTGGCCCGATGACTGAATATAGGATTTGCCTGCAAAAATACCATGGTTTAGTTGTTGGCATCTCCAGGTAATGTTGGAGAAAACTTCCTGTTACTACTCCTACTGCCTCCTTTTCACTGGGATTTGGACAGGGCAGAGCATGAATGCTAGTGCTGAGGTGAGATTTGACCAGCTTTTGTTTGTACAATAGAAGAACATGGAAATGTTACTTATTTTGACAGTAACACACAACAGTTCTGCAGCCAGCATTGCTTAGCCACTGGCTGGGGAATTCTGGAAATTCTAGTGCAAACAAGCAGCTTTCCTTAGCCCCAAATAAGTTGCCATCTTGTTCTACACCTCAGGTAGCCATAGGACTTGCAGAAGCCTAATGCTCTCTGCATTTACTAAGGGATAGATTGCCACATACACATGTGCAGCATGCGATAGTGGGCCCTTGGGCATTGTTTGTGCATTTGCACATGCTGTATCATGCACAGTCACACTGAAAGTACAAAACATCTAACTGCCTGGTCTGACTCTGCTGTACCTACTGATTCTGGTCATAGGCTAAGAGGAAACAATTTTGCCTGGGCGTCTAAAATGTTTGCCAGTTGGTGAAAATGTTAGCACACACAACACTTTATAAGGTACCAAATGTGCCAAAACCCCATGGAATTCATATGACAAAATCTCCCGCATGCTTGGCTTATTAGCTAGACAGACGGAAGAAACTATTTGAAGCTTCAAATATTACTTCCACATTACCCTTTTCTGCTGAAGCTTTGCAAACCCAGCCTATTGGAGGAAGGGGAGAGAAATTTTGACTAAATATAGCTCCTTCTTAAAAATACTTAAATAAATCATAGGCTCTAAATTTAACACAATACCTTTCACATGGTGCTTTTTCTTGGGTTTTGGTGGCACGTGAGCTTGCCTGCTG